GAAAACTAACAGAACGATGGCAGCTTGGAATTCTTCCATGGTTATTTCCACCCTGCCATTAGAAATAGTAAAACACTGGACAGTGTCTTTGAGATTGATATCATTTCAGACCAACCTAGTCCCCTCCCAACACTACAGAATGATTTTTCTTCTTGGAATACCACATTGGCCTAAAGTAAACTCAGGGAATTGGAGAGGTCTTCAAACTCCAGATAACTTTGACCTTCACTTTCTGAAATTTTGGGGGATCAAGACAAGAGAAAATGAGATACCACAAATAGGCACTGTTCTCTAGAGCAGGGGCCCCCAACTCCCTGGCTGTGGACCGATACTGGTCCATGGCCTGTTAGGAACCAGGCCGCACAGCAGGAGGTGAGTGGTGGGCGGCCAGCAAAGCTTCATTTGTGTTAGCAGCCGCTCCCCAGCATTAGCATCACCACCTCAGTTCCACTTCAGATCATTAGGCATTAGATTCTCATAGGCGCACCGGTCCCTGGTGCCAAAAAGGTTGGGGACCTCTGTGTCTAGAGCAACAAAATAAGACTAGTTCTTAGGCAGAATTGAATTTTCAGATGACCATTGTTTTCTTCCTTCTGTGCCCTTTCTAATACACAAAGACTACACTAGAAATACAAGGAGGTGATTGGTTTTTTTGTTCAGTAATTCTGCATATCGAGAGAGAAAACCCCTTTTTTTAGCTTCCAATTTCTAGTCTTGAAATTGAAGCTACAATATGTAGAAAGTATTCTTATATTTTAATCCTCTCAGTGGTGGGAGTAAATTAAGAAACCTGACCCTTCAATTGGCAGGCGTGATGGCAAGGCTCTTGAGAGATTCCTGCAGGATTACTTTGATGGCAACCTGAAGAGATACCTGAAGTCTGAGCCTATTCCAGAAAGCAACGACGGGCCCGTAAAGGTGAGGCTCTCACAGCCTCCCCAAGCCTCTACACAGCTGCCTCTTCTCATTTTTTTCCCAAAAATGCTGGGTTTAAGTGAAGACCTTGTTAGCTATCATGTTTTTTTTTGCTATAACCTCCCACTCCCAACCCCGAGTCATAAAATAAGTATTAGCAGAGCTTATAATGCTCAAAAGGGGCAGGAGTATAAATCCTTCATAGAATTTTCTGATGGTATTTATATCAGAGCTAGGTTACTCTTCGGGACAGAGCAAACTAACCCCTAAGAATAATTTTAAGGTTGTCGCCCTGAAATTATTTTAAGGAAGGATTGGGTAACACTTGATTCCTGTGACTTCCTTAACTTATTTGACAAGAGACAGAGATGGGAATTAGTCTACGGCCATGCCATCCTAAACAAGTCTGATCTTGGAAGCTAAGCAGGATTGGGCCTGGTTAGTACTAGGAAGACCAGGTGCTGTAGGCATAAAAAATTAATAAAAATTAAGAGGGATTGTAAGATGACAAGGTCCTTGCGATCTTTGAGGTCAACCAAGGGTTGCCTTGCATAAAAAAAAAAAGAGAGAGAGAGAGATGGGAATTAATTGGTTTCTGAGGGATGGCAACATTTTTAATACAGTCTCTCCATGTGATTTGGGTTTCAATGGCAACACATCAAGTTTTAGAGGGATTGGGTCCAGAAACAAATATAGCTCATGAATTTATTCTTCAACTCACCTTACCAACTAGAGAATCTTCTGTATTTTCCAGGTAGTAGTAGCAGAGAATTTTGATGAAATAGTGAATGATGTAAATAAAGATGTGCTGATTGAATTTTATGCTCCTTGGTGTGGCCACTGTAAGAATCTGGAGCCTAAGTATAAAGAACTGGGAGAGAAGGTATGTCTGAAGATAAATTTGGGTTGGGATGTTTACACACATACTTGCATTAGCTAATTAGTTACCCTGATTAGTTCAGCACCTATGTACTGATAGATTTTTTCATCTACTATACTCACTTTCTCCTGACTTCTCCCTAGTGTCTAACCTGTGCAGTGCTTTAACTTTACTCCTCAGACTCAATTTAGATAATGGTTAAAAGTATCTGGGCTTCTGAATTTTTGTGATGGCTTATATGAATCCATTATGTTCTTTCATCTTAAAACACTTATCTCTTATAATGTCTTATTTAGGCCAGGTAGTTTTAAAAGTGGCTGCATATAGAGTCTTAATATGGAACTGAGAGAGACCAGTGAAGCTTGTGAAAGGCTAGATACTACGTGCAAGTGTTAGTACTCTTCCCATCTAAGTAGCAAAACTTATCCAGGTGTTTGAAAATGCAGTTGTTTTAAGTTGTGAATTGACTAAGTGTTCCTTAGTCACTAAAAACTTGAAATTTAAAGATCGAACCTTTTTATTAACAGCTCAGAAAAGACCCAAATATTATCATAGCCAAGATGGATGCCACAGCCAATGATGTGCCTTCTCCATATGAAGTCAGAGGGTAAGTAGATTAAAAGCTAATAAAAGTGTCTAGGCACTTGGCAGGAAAAAAATAAACTTATAAACCATTTTTTTATTGGGTGTAAAAAAATAAACTTATAAACCATTTTTTATTGGTGCGGGGAGTTTTCATACTCCAGTTGAGCACAGAACCACTGATACCTTCCTTGTTTAGAGTTCTGCAGCATGGGCTCATATGACTGCCACAGATTTGGAGCTCTCCTATTCCTGAGTTTTGAAAGGATGTAGCCTAGCCACTGATGGAGACTGGTATCTGGTCTAATTAGAAATCATGAAGAGAAGTTATTGCCAAAAACAGTTATTGGGGAAGTGTATGTCAGAGTTACTCTGGAACCTAAAATTAGTCAACTCTTTTTTTTTCTTCTTTCTTCAGTTTTCCTACCATCTACTTCTCTCCAGCCAATAAGAAGCTAGATCCAAAGAAATATGAAGTAAGTGTATTGTCTCATCTCTCCACAAATAGATACACATACACACACTTGTACATATCTAGCTCTTTAAGTTTATTTAACTGGAAACTCAATTCTGATTGTCAATATATGTGGTTGTTGATGTTTTTACAAACTCAAGTCTTCCTATTGGGAAAAAACGCAGGGTTCTTTAAAAGGATAAGTTTTCAGAGTTATCTTTTCTGTTTTCAGGGTGGCCGTGAATTAAGTGATTTTATTAGCTATCTACAGCGAGAGGCTACAAACTCCCCTGTAATTCAAGAAGAGAAACCTAAGAAGAAGAAGAAGGCACAGGAGGATCTCTAAAGCAGCAGCCAAACATACCACTTTGTAAAAGGACTCTTCCACCAGAGCTGGGAACACCACTGGGGAGGACTGGGACCCAGATGAGATTATTACCTCTCAGGGCTGAGAGGACAGATGAATATTATCTGAATCCTGTTAAATTTTCTCTAAACTGTTTCTTAGCTGCACTGTTTATGGAACTACCAGGACCAGTTTATGTTCATGGTTTGGGGAAAAATTATTTGTGTTGGGAGGAATGTTGTGGGGGTGGGGAATTGAGTTGGGGGGTTATTTTCTAATTTTTTTTGTACATTTGGAACAGTGATAATAAATGAGCCCCCTTTAAACTGTCTTTTTTTCACAAGATGGGAAACCAAAGATTCTTTAGACCAGCACTGTACCAATTGAACTTTCTGCAGTAATGGAAATGTTCTATAATCTTCATTGTCTAGTACATGTAGCTATTGAACATTTGAAATGTGGCTATGAACTACATTTAAAATTTTTATTAAATAGTCACATATAGGGCTAGTGGCTGATATTGGTCAGTACAGCTGTAGACCAACTAACTGGGTCCATAGTTATCACCTGTAAATCCTTTCTAGATTTCATCACTTTCTATCCTTACATGTTTATTGCCCCAGCCTCTAGCCTGATAATTAGAATAAATGTTCAATAGCTACACGTACTTTTCTTGTTGGGCTCTGTTTCTGACCTTGTCCATGCCCTAAGGATGGGTTGCCATTTATCCTTGCCATGCAGCTGAGCATGTTTATACCTCCCAAGGGCTGTTGTCTGCCCAGAAATGCCCTGCATGGGTGTGGCATCAGGTTGGGGTTCTATCCAAGTTGTTTCAGTAACTGCTGACACTGCTGGGTGCAGCTCTCTTCCCCAAAGCCCAGGGTGTGGCCTATTAACCCCCCTCCAGTGGACTGGGAAAGGAAGAATCATCATTCCTACTTGTGATTGAAGTATCTGCTTTCTTCTGTAACAATGAGGAATGAAAAGGATAGAACTGGTATGATCTTTTATTCAAATGAATTGAACCATTTCCTTTCTTTTTGTAAGTCTAAATCTTATCCATGGTTATAGTTTTCAGTCACCGGAAAATTCCAGATGGGAGTCCTAATTGTAAGTGAACCTCAACTTGGATGTTTAGAAAAGGAGAACTTTATTCCTACTGTAATCTCTAGTTGTCAGTTATAAGACGGATTTGGTAGAGCCTTATAGCAAAATATATATAAGGATCAAACATGGTGCTTTAAAAAAGTAAAGATGCCTAGCCATAATCTTGGAGATTCTAAATTTTTAGTGAGCCCAGAAGTGGTTCAGATATATAGCCAGGGGTAAGAACCACTGCCTTGAAAAACTTAAGGAAAACATAAACTTATACAAAGGACACAAATAGTTTTAATTTTTTAGCCATGTCTGTAAAAGAATTCACTTTTAGTACATTATATCCAGGTGTATTACAGTTCCTTTACCTCTGTCCCCAAGAGTTTTGATTGTTTCTTTAGAGAGGCTACCAGGCTAAATTCTAATGTCCTCAAGGTTTCTCATCCTAGAACTGGTGTCATTTCTCAGGATTTGAAAATGATCTGACTGAACTAAGGGTGAAGAAGCCAAGCCTCTGCTGCTTTTCCTAGTCTGCTGGTCACAGCTGTGGAGTGTTGGCATTGTGCCCACACCCTAAAAATTAAAATGTCAAGAATGAAAAAGAAACCTAGAGCAGCTCTCCTACTTGCCACCATTGACTCAGCAATAAGAAGAGCAGACGATTATACTATAGTTTGTAGCTGCTTCGTTCCTTCTTATCTCACTGGGAAGAGGGTCAAAAGCCCTTTGACCACTTCAGCTGCCTCTGTTCTTTTCCTCAAACTCCAGGATGAGACCTTTAATGTGGGACAATTTCAGATGCAGGTACTCACAGCGACGCTTTTCTTCCCTGTAACCTGGATGCCGCTGCAGAGAAAAAGCATCCATGTCAAAATATATATATATTTTAAATCCATTTCTACCTTCTTGCTACCATTCCCAGACCTTGTCTTACCTTTCTGAACCTTTTATATTCATGAACTATCTTTTCTTCCAGCACCTGAAAAAAAGAAAATGCTAGCACCAAGTTTAACCTTAAGAAAAAAGCTCCAGTTCTCTGAAGGGAAATAACTTCCCTTCTCATGCTACCAAATGATACAGACTAATTTTTCTCTTGAAACAGGCCCCCTTGTCACTTTTGTCACTGAACAAACACAAGTGTGTGGGCAGTTAGTAGGGAATTTATAGCCAGTAGAGCTGGAAAGCCAGCCTGTGTCCAGTCCTTACCTTGTATTCTGGAGTTCCCCGCTGAACTCTCTTGATCTCTGCTCCCAACTCCATGAACTTTTGGCTTGCAGCCCCAACTCTAGCATGCAGGATGCGGTATTCAGCATAATCTGTCTCAAAGTCCTTCTCATAAGCATGTCGCTGCTCTGTACTGTGGATGGCCCCATATTGCCTGCCAGGAGCAGAGTTACCATTTTCAACTTTATTGTCCCAAAAGCTTCCAGCTCCCAGGAAGTTTATGTTAATATATGCACAAGGTTTAATAAAATTGAAAATGGCAGGGGACTCACAGGAGGTAATCTGGTACCTCTTCAGGGCTTGGGTATTCAGAGTCTGTGAAGGAAGCAAGAAGAAATGAAGGTGACTATTGGCCCTTTTTTTCCACACAATGGCAGTTTTACCTTCTTATTAACTCACTTGCTTGAACTGAGGGACTGTGCTCCAGCCTAGGGCCCATGACTTCGTGTGTATCTTCTTGGTCCCAATCTTCTCCCTCATGGAGGTCCTCGCTGAGCAGCCCTTGTAAGGGACTTTGAGCTAGAGGCAGAGTTCTGAGCCTCTTTTCTCTTAGCTCTATAGTGGCCGCAGGCGCTGGACGTTTCTGTTGGGGAAAATATCTTATTAACGGTATGTCAGAAGCTTATTCTGCCCTTCTCTTGAAAATTACTTCCATATAATGATCTCTGGGAACATCAAAATGAAGGCTTCCAATTTTTAAGTTTTAGTTTGATTGGACAAAGCTCTCTGAAAAATCCTTGCTATTACAACTTACCTTGCTCAGATGTTTCTGGCCAGCAGAGGAAGGCAGTGCCTGATCAGGCTCTCTGTTTGGAAGATGGGTCTGGTTCCTAGAGTATTTGAAAAGGGAATGGGAGAAATGAAGACTAGGATAGGAAGTAGGGCTAGATTTCTTATTACGGCATTTAGGGTGGAGATTCGAGGAAGGCAATACCAGGGCTTCCTAGATTATTCCCACCCTACCCCCAAGTACCTCACTTCCCACTGTGCCATGTGTTCCCTCGAGGATCCTAGGAGTGACTCTCCTTGGCTGCTTGCTGATGGATCTGGCACCTGGCAGGGAAAGTAGCAGGGGCACTTGGCTCCCTAGGCTTCAGGCTTTACCCCACCTTATCCCAGCTCCCTCCAGTTTCTTGCCTTACCTCTTCTAGTGTCACCTGTGGTTGTGAACCTGTGTCTCCTTCAGAATAGTCTCCCACGTTCTGCCAGTTCTTAGGATCTCTGGCATCTTCAGTCAGGTTGTGTTCCTGAACTAAAGATGGGGCTGGGATAGAATCCATGGCTGCCCAAATAGTGAGGCGGTCCCTGAGTGGGCCCAGGCAGTGGAGGCGGTTAGGCCCAGATCTGAAAAAGGATGGTGAAAAAAACCCAGGAGGGCAAACTTTTAAGTACCTCTATACATTCTCTTCCTGGACTTATCACAAACTCTCACCTGCTACCTGTCTGTTCCCCCTTACCTGCCTAAGCGTTGGTACACAAGATCCAAGCCACCACCAGGGCCCTCCTGGCCACACTGGGACACTATGAAGGAGAAGAGGCAGGACCAGCCACGGCCTGGGAACCTCAGATACTGGGGGTGAAAGGAGACGGTAAGCCCCACGAAGTTAGCCCCTCCCCCTCCCGCCAATGCCATTTCTCCCTGAGCCAGCCTAAGGCTGAAGATGGGTCCCACGAGACTCGTTAGCACACCAGGTGCAGCTGCGCCTGAGTTCCCAGGAGGTTGAAAGGGTACGGTCTCTTCAACCATAGCCTCCTGGGACCACAACCCCAGCAGCCCCCTCACCCCATTTGAGGTTCAGTTCTCGGAACTTCTTCAGACCGTGACTGCTCTCAGCCTCCCGCCCTGACAGTACCTTTCTTGAGCCCGCGTCTGTTCTTCCCCGCACCCTGCATCCTTTACCACACCCCAGGCCTGCACTTACCCCTCGGTTGCCTTGGAAAGCGATCACTGGCCGAAACTGCAGAGAGAACACAGACGCGAGTTTAGCGCTGGTGAAGCGGCGTCCGCAGAATCCTGCGCTGGATGCTCGGAGGGACCTGCCTCGCGGGCTTCACTTGGAGAAGTGGGGAGGCCGGAGCCTGAAAATGCCGCCCTCCAGCGCCAGGTCCCTTCGCCAGGGTCTCCGGCTGAGGCACGAGGTCCGGAGGAGTAGGGGCTAGGGAAGATGGAACCCGGGGTCGGCCGCACCTGTTGTCGCTGACACTCTTGCAGCTCCCGCAGCGCCGCATCGTTGAACCTGAGCAGCAGGAGGCTGGTCCGGGCAGGGGGGGTGAAGCAGAGCCGGAGCTTTCCACTCAGAAACTCCTGGGGTCCCGCCATGCCCACGTGGTTGAGCGCAAGCAGAACTGGAGCCACAGGCAAGGGACACCACCACTGCCTTCGCCGTGCAGGGCTAGACTTGCACAGCCGGTAGCCCAGGTCGGCCCCGCCCCCGACAGGATCCC